ACAACAGGTGATGTTGGTGAGGCAGGTGATAAGGGATCCATTGGTAAAGCCATTGATGGGCCTCCCGGAGACCGAGGATACCAAGGTATGTGCTCTCATACGGAGAACTTCCATCTGAACCAATCATTTTCTTTTTTATACCTACATTTGAACTACTGTTCTAAACATCCACTCATCTCAGACTTTGACTTGTCAAACAGACATAAGTGTATAAGTCTTCTGTCACTCCTGCAACTTCTAACTACAGCACATTCCCACAGGTCTTCCAGGGGTACCTGGAATTGTTAAAGATGGGCGCGATGGCTCTCCAGGAGATCCAGGTGAGCCCGGAGAGCAAGGCAGAGTAGGCAGGACTGGGCACCAAGGACCTCCTGGAATCTGTGACACATCAGCTTGCCAGGGAACATCACCTGCTGGGAAATCCTCTAACCCCAAAAACAAATAAGCATAAGTTCCTGCACCCTGACACCATCCACTCCGAGGTGAGAGTCATAAGTGAGGATAAAAGGAATGAAAGAAGAGAGTGGCCACAAAAAAAGTCCTCTTTATTTAAATACATGCATCACAAGTTGGGAAGAGTAACATCAGATGGTGTGATATTTTTGACAAAATAGAGGAACATCCAGGAAGTGACATGAACATCAGCGCAACTGAGAGACAAAAAAAACAAACAACGTTATGATATGAAATGGAGAGAGGTAAGGAGAAGTGCAAGAGAACAACTGCATTGATCCAAGTACTATCACATGACAAGACTTGACTTACAAACACCTGGAAAGTGAATGATGAGTCCTTTGTGTATAAAAACTTTGTACATGTTGCTTCAACGCCCCAAACACTTTGATTAACATCCTTTTGGAGATAACACTAAAAAAAATGGCGACTGTCTCTGATGTAAATGTGCATTTATCATGGCCCATTATGTAAATCACAGATGTTACCTCAACATGGAAATAAGTGCAAGAAGCATAAAAGCCTCTGTGGAGGAGCTGTGTATGTACTGTAAAAGGAATAAAAAACAAAAATCCAGGTTCCCAGACATTGTGTAGATTAATGCAAGAAAAAAAAGGTTTGATAGTCTTTTTTTACAGCTTGTTTTCTGTTATTGTTTTTTTTTATGACATGTGAATTTGATTCTTCAGACTTCAGAATCAAAAGCAAAATAAACTCATGAAAGCATAAATCACACATTGTAAAATACAGTTTAAGAATTTTAGGAACAAAGTATTTTTTTTCCAATCTGCAATGACCACATCCACTATGTACTACCGGTGCTGTAACTATTAAATATACATGACTTTAAATACTATTTATTATTTGTGGGTGACTGTTGTATGTACAGTAAGATGCTACAGCGACATGTTGTAAGAAAGAACAAATAAAGCCACTTTTCAGTAAAACATTACTCTTCTCTACATATCAAATGAACAGTCTGCTTTTCAGAATACTCTGCTGTAAACACTGAAATCAAACAAGTCCATTAACTAACTAGGAAGTAACACTTACTTTGATACCAAACTGCTTAAATATCCAAATACAGAACAGATGTTGGCAGGCACTCAGTAGAAAACATTCTGAATGAATAAAAATGAACAGAAAACAAGACATTGAAGTGCAATTTTGAATACAGGGTATAAATACTGCACATATTATCAAAATAAAATGGTTGAAGGGACGGCATCTGCCAACTAGAGCACCGCCTGTGCTTTTCGAAGAGAAACAGCGCCATCTGTGTGTGGAAAGCCCTTCCTTTCCAAAAGGTTGATGTGTTAAACTCGGCCCTCACACTACCTGAACTAATCCTTCCACTTTCTAGATCGTTGCAGTGTGATCGAAAGGATATATTTAACCATGTCAACAATACTTCATCTTAACCCCACACCCACACCTCACTGGGCAAGCCTGAGCTACTCTGACAGTTGAATTCAATTCAGTTTAGTGGCTGACATATAGAAGAAAACAATGAGGAGAGGTTACTGTTCTGCTGCCAGGGAAATGCTGCTCAGTGTCTCATCCATCCTGTGGTGCACTGGGTCCTGACCTGAGCTGGACTTACCAAAGCGTTCTTTCTCATGAGCGAAGACTTTCTGGAACTCCTGCAAACAGAAGAATTGGAGGTTGAAGTGGTTCATGACACATAGTACCAGAGATGCTTTATCTTCCTGCAAGTCTGTAGCTGTCTAGATCGCCCTTCTGGTGGCGGTAGTGCATGTTGTAAGTATGCCGTGATTTTATTTGCTGTGTTGTACATTTTTTTCAGCATAATCTAACTGCAGCAGATGATTTCTCTTAGTTAAAACAACAAAGTTTATTTGATTTTAAACTGTAAAAAATGTGAAGACTTTAGTTTGAACTCTAAATCACAAAAGTCACAAAGTTTCCTTCACTAATTAGACAGGCAGCAAGGGGAAATGTAATTAACTCTTATCTTCCAGCCACAGCTTTCTAGTCTCAGATAATTCAGTTAGAGGACACTTTTCATCAATCACTTTTCTACACATGCCCACCTCTTTAAAAGTGTCTCCATACGTTTTAGTAATGTATCTCAGGAAAGCTGTGGTCCACTGCAGGGTGGTGACTTTGTCCGTCTCCGAGTCACAGAACGGCACCAACGTGTTCAGTTCATCACAGCACAAACGAATCCTCTTCCTGTACGACAGCGCAGACAATGCAGATGATTTTGAGCGATGCAGTCCTGTATGTTTAATAATCAGTCATCAGTCACTAAGAATTCTTTGGTAACTCTTCAGCAGTTTCAAATCATGAACCATTTAACCTCTGAGTGTATCTGTTTTAAACTGATTTAGCATTTGCATAGGAATCAGGTTTCTTTTCAATCCTCAGTGACACAATTATTTTAAATCAAAATAAATCAAGTTTCCACATAGAGCAACTAAAACTAATGATCACAACCCAAAAGATGTTCAGTTCTGATGTGTTGCTGTTGCACTACTTATCCGAATATATTCAAACAAGGACTGAGTTCACTTAAATCATGCCATCACCACACTGTGAGCGTGAGGCTCTGAGAAGAAACTGAATGCACTTTTGGTAAATGGACTGGTTCTTATATAGCACTTTTCTACTCTACTCAAGCACTCAAAGCGCTTTATACAACATTTGCCCATTCACGCAAGCACTTTCTATTACTGAAGGATGCATCAGAGTGCAATATGGGGTTCGGTATCTTGCCCGGTGATACTTTGGCATGCAGACTGCACAAGCCATGGATTGAACCACCGACCTTCCAATTAATAGATGACCTGCTAAAACAGAGACAGACAACCACACATATTCAACTACAGCCACCGCTAACCAGTGCACCACTGTTCCACCCGAAATAGAGGACAAAATGTTTAAAATTTGTACATTGAAATAGTTTTCTTTTTGTGCCTAAATGCAACGCCTTTTAAATCTCTGACCTTGGAAGCAAGCTCACCTAACTCACTTTAAGCATCCCAGGATATTCCTGAAATGCAAATGTTTATCTTGTTGCACACTATGGATGCAGGGACAATTCCATGTGTAACCTTCGGCTGCTCACCTGCGCTCCCTCTCCTTACTGTTGTGTCTCTCCCGGCGCTGGCTGAGCAACATACTAGATCTAGCGATTTTCCTCCTGCTGCTCTGTGGCTCTCCAGCAGAGTCTGGGGCGGCTTTAGCAGCTTTGGGTATCACCGCAGCAGGTATCACCGCATCCTCTGTGAAAAAAACCCAAGCATGTGAGACCAAGTTAGACACAGCCTTTCAGACCATAATTGTAGCCAACAACACAGTTATGGCTTATGAAGAAAGATTAGAATACTAATTATTACTTTCTACATTAACCAAAGGCTGCTCTTCTGCTGGGTGAAAATTTAAAACGCTCTTGGGGATCATAACCTGAAATTAAATCAGAAAAACCAAGGATTAAACAGTGGGCTCTGCTTTACCATTAAGATACAATAAAAGCACATTGATTTGTTTTTTTCCCCCCAGCATACCTGTCCACACGTGTTGGTGACTGGGCCATAAACACCCTCTATATATGAACTAGACACCCCAAAAGAATTTGCTCTGTCCATTTTCACCCACTTCTGCTTTGGAGGATGTGTGACTGTCTCTTGAACCTCTGCAGACTGCTGAAGTATTGTCAAAAAACTGAAACATGACATAGCGCACAAAATGAGTACATGTATGCTATACTTTAATAGAATGATAGTCACATATAGTATATACATATTACTGAAACTTACTTGCTGAGAACTGCAGACTGTATATCTTGTTGTCTCGTGGTTTCAGCACACATGGCGCTAAATCTTTTCTCTAAGCAAACTCTAGCAGCTGGTCTGGTGCGATTCTGTACGGACTTATTGTCACTGGTAAAAGGTTCAGCTGGGCTTTCTTCAGCTCTAATTCTGGCCAACACAAAACCTGGCACCTCTCCATAAGACACTGGTGTCTTTTCTCCAGGCATTACTATACAGTGGTCTTCATTTGATGTTGATAGATCAATAGCCTGAGCGCTTCTGAAGGGAGAAATCACTGTGGACGTGGCCTGTTCTTTGACCATCACTGTAGAGAGGTGACATCTGACATCTGGAAACTCTGACTGTGCCTCCACATGGGCTTGGAGAAGATGCTGGAGGTGAGAACAGTCAACCTCTGTCATCTCCATCAGCCCAAGCTCACTGCCCAACACCTGCCCATGTTCACGGGTAAAGCATCCACCTTGACTCACAATCATTCCAACAGAGTCACTTATCTGTTCTCTTGATGAAGGTAACACATTGATGTTTTTACAGGTTGAAGAAAAGGACATCTTTCCTTCTGGAGGGGGGCTACAGATCAGGAAAAATATTAGATATAATACAGACCAGTTCCTCTAAATACTTTGTTACTTAAAGTATTCGCTAGTTACTCTTAATGTTAGCTAAAGAAATTGTATAATTATAATTTAGGTCGTGAAGGTACGTTGTCGTGAATTTTAGCTTAGCTACAATTAGCAAAGGAGACGTTGGCATAAACTGGCCAAAATCAACAGGCTGTACCGCCATTTTAAAACTTGTAATACTATTAGAAACTCCAGGGCATTTAAAACAATCAGTCTTAAGTTATATAAATGCATAAAAAGTTGTTATTACTGAATTAATAAACTCTTTGTACCGCTTTCTGTTCGGGGATTAGCACGTATTAATGCTTGGCCTCAGGCTGTAACGACGACCGTCTCCAGCTACCGGCGCTAACCTTCTCCCCGTCACAGATAAACCTCCGATTATCTCAGTATACAATAATTTCTTTAACTTTCTTTCTTTAACTTAACGGAACTTTAAACACAAAAACAAGCAATTGTGGGGAAGACTGCCCCACAGTATGTACGGAAAATATACGAGGGGTCCTAAAGAAAACCGACAGCTGTCATCATAAATTACTTGTGTAAAATTAGAAAATATAATTTTTTTTTATTGATCAGTTGGGGGGGGGATAGTCCTACTTTTTCCACGCTTTTCTGTCATTCAGTATCTTTTGGTTGATCAAAAATAGTTAAATATGTTACATTTTTATACAAAAAACAGAATATGTAAATACATTGATTGCAGCATCGTGAAATTTCTTGGTTAGACAACTACATTTATACATACATGCATATATGTATCTCTCGCTCTCTCTCTCTCTCTCTATATATATATATAGATAGATAGATAGATAGATAGATAGATAGATAGATACAGATATATAGATTTCCAGATTTTCTGTTTTGATTATTGGATTCATAAAAACTGAAAGACCTTAATTTTTTAAATTAATAAAAGCATTTGCACCCAGATATATAAAATAACTATCTAGTTTGAACCTCGTGGGGTCCAAAACAGACTATGTCTCATGTTTTAAACCTGTTATGGTCTGGTGAACTTTCCAGATTTACCTCTTCTCCTGCTCTGAGCAACCTGGAATAGGTTTCCCCCACACAAATGACCCTACCTTCCATAAGTCGTTGAGAAAATGAATTAAATATATATTACAAAAAAAAGAAGTTTAATCACCACCCCTAACAGCACAACTGGCCAACATAGTACTTTTCTACATAACAAAAACTGTTCCGCAATACTCATTCACATTGCAAAAACTGTAATGACTTCCTTGTTTATTTTAAATAAAAGATTTCCAGTTGCAGTTCAAACTTTATACAGATTATCTCTTAAGACCTGAGAATTACACTACTATGGAAAACAGAGAAATTAATCCTAAGTAAAATGACAGAAAACAACAGAACAGAAGTAACAATGCTTGAGTTAAACTAGACTCCTGCAATACAAGTTTTACACATGTGGAGGGTTACAGAAAATATGTAGACCCACTTTCGCTTATTGTGATTTCCAGACTACCCAGCAAGAGGCCTCGA